ACTTCAGCGTTCAGATCCCTAGCCAGCACAACAGTGTTCGAGTTTCTTCTGTGGCTAAGGAGCTCGTTCAGTTGACGATAGAAGTCGTCTTTTACCGAGTCGTCGCTACAGTTTGTCGGTGCATAGGCAGCGATAACGAATAGACACCTGTTAATCCAGTGCGACTTCGAAGCTTTGAACGAGCCAGCCAATCGGACCGCACACATCCGGCTACTGATTGGAATCCAATCAACCAGAGTAGCTTCAGCCCGGGGATTCAGGGCAATACCAACACCGGCTTGGTCAGTGCTCGAAGCTGCATCGTCACCGGATAGGCGCAATGAGAAAGTGCTGCTAGTATCACCTGAAGGGGATCGCAGAGTGAGTACAGAGCTCGAGTCTTGCAGGTGGGTCTCCGATAAGCAGCTGATATCGATCGATAGAGTCTCCATTGTTCGAGCAAATGCTGCCTGTTGACCGATCTGTAGCAATGTGCGAACATTGAGGCATGCCAATCTGAAGGAGGATCGAGGGCTCCAAATGGAAGCCGATGAATTGGAATGGGCCACTTGCTTGGACACAGGCCTGCTGACAGTGCAGAAATGACGCTCTGCGTTCACCTGTGAGTTGAAACTAAAAGACAAGCGACTATTAAAGCAAAGTGGGGGAGGGCCGAGAATTGGGGGGTTGAAAACAGGGGGAATAAAAGTGAAGCTGGAACGGGGCGATAAGGGTGAGAAAGCGGAAGAAGGGGAGTAAGAAGGTGGGAAGGCTTGAGCAGTGGCATCCGAACCCCTATCCACCCTGCTCGATGCAGCAGATAGGGCACCGTAGGCTGTTCTCTGCGGTGGCCAGAGCATCAGAAATTTGTTTGAAGTGTGATTCATAGTATTGCGTGGGCAGGATACTGTCAAGTTGCCCAGGCCTAGACAGGAGAACGATTAGGGTTCTCAACCAAAGCCTTTGGTTAAAAAACCTGACCGCAAGGCAGCGGGTTTGGTATTGGGCTACAAGGAGTCCGTTTTAAGAAAAAAGGAGCCACCCTCATTGCAACCCCCAACCTGGAGGACCAGGAGGCTGAGTTTGTCTGGCCTTTAACCATTGACTAATCTGGTATGAGTGACTCTGAAGGTGCAAAAATGCACCACCCAGTATATCTCAATGGATCACTGAGGCACACAAACCATCCCACCACGGTAAGGTCCAGCCTCATTGCGATGGAGATTTGTTCGTAACCATTGTATTTTATACGCTTATTTAGTGAAGCGTTATGTCACATATCTGTATGCATTATCCGATTTTTATTTCATCTTGTCGTTTCAAGTGATTGGCTGTTGCTTAATATCCCCGTTGTGACTACTCTTGGTGTGCATGTTGACAAGGTGCGTACCTGTCTATTACCCACTGCCTTGTCCTTAGTGGCTCCAGGAGACAGTTAGTCGTTGCTGGACGGGACGGGGTGCACGGTCCTTGTGGCCGTGCTAGGTTCGAAGCGTGGTTCCACGCACTCAGTGTGTAGCAGACCACGGTCCAGCCACCGCCTTTTTTACGCTTGCTTCCCAAATACAGTGTGCTTGTGTTTGCCTGTGAAGGAGTGTGGGCCGGTTCCGTTGATGAAACGTGGCTCCTATCCACATGCCTCCCGGTCTTATTTCTTTGGATTTACGCTGGATTTCAGGTGATTATACTGGTTGATAGTCGGACTGTGATCTAGAACGTTGCGGCGTTTATGGCTTTCTTTCGTAGCTGTTGAAATCTATGGTCGCCACGGCTATGCAGGTGGTTCAATTATCCTTTCTTTAGGAAGCTTCCGTACTTCCTGCTGTATGAATTTCTCGTCTGTCACTGAGTGACTTCTCGATTTCGTAACGATGGCGTTGAAAGTGGAAGAATTGTCCCCGAACTAGGAGGGAGGATCCACATCAGCGGGTAATAGCGCACACATGGAGAGAGGTTGTTCACCGTAGAAATGAATTTTAGCAAATTCGTGCAGTTTGAGAAGATCGTGTCCAGAAGTCCATCTGAACAAATATTTGAGAGTGCAGTAAGTTTAACGTTCGTGTAATAGCGATTTTTACTACTCGGTAACAATCCAATGACCGGTCGTGACATTAGTTAGTTGAGTACTGGCCATTGAAATTTTGCAATGTGATTCGAGGATTTTCCAGTTGAACTGTTTGAGAACCGATGTGGCAATGTACCTTTCAGAACTCCTCTTACCAACCAACGCTTTCAGCGGAACGTCGTTGATGAACATATAGATGACAGTATAAGACTGTTTGATTAGGCTGGGACCATGACAGCAGATATGTGATTCTTAACTACCTGAGCGGGGTTTTTGGTAGAGAAGCGGCAAACCTTCTGATGGTGTCCTTTTTTTCCGCAACCGTTACAAACAGCATCACGTGTAGGGCATTGGGACCGACTGATGTCTCTTGAACCTGCAGAAAAAACAGTGGTTGTGCGACATGACAGCGGTGACGTTTTTACCAGGTAATGAGTCACATGTTGTTTGCAATGCTTCTGACTGGCATGTGATAAATGCGTTTTCTGTTTGAAATGCCTTTGACTGGCAGTAAACGATTTCCAGGGATCGGGTCTGTTCAAAAGCAGCGTGGAGATCAAGTGACATGTTCCAAGAGGCACTTACGAATCATTTGGGACTACAGCCCCGTTATAGAATCATCTCGAATGGCGTCCTCTCGATATTCTCTGTCGTTACCGTTTTAAATTTACACTGCTGAGCTAGTGACTTCAATTTCTGCATGATGTTGTCTAGGGTTTCGTCACTTTGTTGCTTGCTGATAGCAATTAGGCGGTGTGCGAAGATTTCATTTTCCGGCTTGATGTGTACATTCCTTGGTGTTTCGATGATAAATTCTTAGGTTTCACACTCCATAATGTAATTCTTAACATTATCGGATATGTACTTCGCGAGAATCCTCAATTTGTTAAGCGCGCAGGAAATAGGCAGAAGTATCAAACCAGTGGGTCCACTATTTCGCAGCTTTGACATTGTTGGGATTAGCATCGAAACGTTCCGGTCGGAGGATTCAGTTCATTACTTGCTGAATAAATTGTTCTATGAATAGACGAGGCAGAAACGCGCCGACTGAGAAGGAGTATAGCCCGAATGAGTAGGCTTTATTCCACGAAAAGCTGAGGTGAGTAGGCAGAAAAGGAGTATAGGATGTTTGTGATGAATAACAATACGGAGTGATTGTGGATTCTACTTCATGTAGCAGACTTGCACTGAAACTAGTTATTCTTGAAGTGGGTACAAAGTATTCCACTTTATTTGCTTTGCTCAGTTCTGTTATTCTGCTACATATTCCGTGTCAATCTTGCACACTTATTTTTCTTTGAATTCTATGTTGGTTGTACGATTGACCTTCCCGATGTGACTGCGATTGATGTCAATCTATACAAGGTGCCCATCTGTATAAGACCTTTCACCTCGATTGCTGGCTCCAGGAGACTGTAAATTGTTGCTGGGGAGGGGGACGGGATGCACGGTCCTCGTGGCCTTGCTGGGTTCAATGAATGGTTCCATCCAGAGTGGAGCGGACTACGGCTCAGTCACCGTCTTGTGTACGTCTAGTACGCATAATTACCAGTTTAGATAAACAGCAATACTACTACTTTGCATGTTGAAGAAGTGTGGATCGGCTCCGTCAATGAAACGTGGCTACCATCCACATGCCTCCCGGTCTTATTCATTCGGGTTTATACTAGTTATGGGGTGTGTGGTTGTAGCTGTGGGTAGTTTAGTGCAAGCCACCAATGGTCCCTATGCAGGCGCAGGCATGCTGTGGCTGGTCACAGTGCCAGCCAAATCCTAAACCGGATGCCGCCAACCATGTGAGTTTTAAATCATTCCACAGCGACTCTTCATCAAACAACAAGCGTTGAGGATAAGGCGTTAGTTGTAGAACGTTTGAGAAGGTGGGACGCCCAACTGACGGTCAAACATCCACATCTCGTCAACGAGAGACTTCATGGCACCCATATAGTGCAAATTACTAAGAGGAATTTTAGTTGTTTAATACTGGTAGAGACAGCCAGCGGATTCATCACCAGTACCGAAAACGTCAGCACCAACGATAGCGACACATTAATACCTTGCGTTGGTGACTACCATATCATCACAACTATCTGACTGATGGCAAGTACCGAGGATGGCATTTCTATGGAACCTAAATGTCTCAACCAAACTCCGTACCAAGGAGTCTTCACCTCGCTTACCTATCCAACTAAGCTACTCTCTATGTTGTTAATTATCTGGATTGTGTAGGCGTCCTTATATATATATATATATATATATATATATATATATATATATATAAAGTACTTTTTGGTTCTCAGCATCATTAACGTTATTCCGCTCTGAGTCTTTCCAACTTTAACGTGCTTCTTTGGCACAGCTCTCAATTTCATGTTTCGTGACAACTGTTGTCATCTTTGATTTATATGAATCCGCCGATGGCGACTGTAGCACTATTTCCTCGGCACAATGTTTGTGTGCCTTCAATACCGCTAATGACTTGTCTCAGTTTCTCTTTGGTTACCCGGCAATGGAATCCTCCTAGGCGAGTCTTGTAGCCTTTTGATCTTGTGAAGACAGGCATTAAAGCATCTAAAGGGATGTCAGTCATGTTCACGCGATTAAATCTCAAATTCTGATTTACGGTCACAATGACGATAAGTGGTGCAGCTATCTTGGTCCTCGCTTACTCTTCATTCTTCGTGATATAACTTGCTCAAAATTCCCTTGAGTATCCCGCTAAACCTTTGGCTGTCAAGCATCTTGCTCTTTAGCTAAACATTTTAACTCTTGTGTCACAACTAAGTGTGCTGTCACTTTTTGCTTTATCCTATTTTCTGTGCTTCTCTGAGTAACTGAGTCGAGTGACTTTTTTGGTTTGCTTGCCTATCCACGCTTGCCTATCCACCCAGTCGAAGATGGGATTTAACCTAACTGTATTTCACTTGAGTTCGCTTTACCTTAACCAACGCAACAGTTACGGCTATCGTGGACGGGACTGTCGCAACAATTTGTATTACTTACCTACGGGAGAGCTCATCTATTTTGTCGCGGCTGTTGTAGTTCTGTACAACATTGAAGAGCAGTGTCAAAGGCACTACCTGGAACACACAGACGATGTAAAGTGGTAAGTTTCTGGTGCAAGCGTTTGTCGCTTCAGTGTTTATATTTTATGCGATTTTAATGTGGTACTTCACCGCAGGATGTATGTTAGGCCTCAGAGGCCTCCTCCATCGACACCTGTTTGTGTCCAGAACCCGATAGCTTTTTGGCGCTAAAATGTTTGTGTTTGGATGTAACATATACTTGGCTTTCAGTTCTGCTTTACTGTCATTTCCTCTCATAAGCTTTCAACGCCATCCTCTACATACATGGGTTGCATGAAAAGTCTTGAGTATCAAAAAACGATACAAGCTCTTCGATGCTTATGTTTTTAAACATATTCACCCTTAAGCTCAATATACTTGCTCCGGCGATGCTGAAGCGCTTTTCTCCAAGTGGAAATAACTCTTCACATTACGACTCTAAAAACGCCTCCACAGCTTCAGTGACGTCACTGTCGTTGAGAAAACCTTTGCCGGTTAAAGCTTTTGGAAATAGGCGGAAGTCAGTGGGAGCCAGATCTGGTGAACAGGGTGCGTGAAGAAGAACCTGGAAGTCGTAGTCGTGTATTGTTTTTGGACAACGCAAGAGGTATGGGCTGGAGCATTGTCGTTGTGGAAAATGACTCCTCTCGTCAGCATTCCTGACCTACTTTATCGATTTTTTTCTCTGAGACTTTTCGGAAGCTCACAGCAATACTTTCCGGCGGTGGTATGTCCTCTTTCAAAAAAATCAATCATCACTACACCTCGGGAATCCAAAATGCGGATACCATCACCTTACGAGCTGGCGGTGTAACCTTGGCCTATTTTGGCTTACGAGATGATGCACGCTTCCATTGCTTTGATTCTTCTTTTCTTTCTGGTTGAAAGGGGTGAACGCAACACTCAGCCATAATGATAAATCGTGCAAGCAAATCATAGGAATCTGCCTCAAACGGTGCCAAATTGTACTTTGACATCACATGTGGAATACGCTCAAGAGTCAGAGGACGTGGGACCCATCGGTCAGAAACTTTTGAGTAGCCTAACTTCGCCAGAGTATTTTCTGCTAGCTGATGGGAGAAGCCCAACCTCTGCTATCTGACGAGTTGTGAATCGGCGATCTTGCATGATCATATACATTAATAGGTCAAGATTTTCTTTGGTGGTGGTGGTTGATGGACTCCCTGACCTGGGCTCCCTCTGCCGTGCTTTAACCCTTACACCCGACGTTTCACTGTGACATCTGACATATGCATCGAGCATATTTTGGTGGATTTCCGATGATGGCCTTCTTTTGAGATAGAGATATTTAATCACTGCACGATGCTCCGATTTCTCCATTTTCATCAAATTGCAGACCCTGTTCACTTCAAGAATATGCTGAAATAAAAGTGTTGTGTCGGATGCCCCGCGACTGCTCCCGCCCACTAACGATAGTGTGAACACGAGTGACCAGGGACAACGATTCATCGTTCTTTTACATAGGGCAACCACTTCGTTATATAGCAAAACGCACAAACGTAAAAGCCAACCATAGTACGGAAAATGTGTGGACAATTAAAACCAATATGAACCTGACAGATGAGGAACCATTCAAGTGCACACAAAGAACGTACAGAGTGATGGCATCAGAGTATAGCTACGATCTGAAGGCAAAACAACGACTCCAAATATCCACTAGGGATAGCGAACTGATGCGTCAAAACACGCATCAGTGAACCATCATAGCAAAGTAAGTCTGCAGTCCTGAACGTCTACACAAGCGTGCCTGTATTTTTATTGCGCTTCAAGCAAAATCTAAGAAGTAGAAGTGTGAATTTGTATATGAATAAAGAACACTGGTAGATTATAAATACCTTATTTGTTTTGCCTGGTTATCTGATTTGTGTCAGACTCACAACACTTCATTCAACCTACGTATGAACTGGGGCCATCGTTTCTTGACATTCTCTACCACAGGTACGGTTTCTCTTACGACTTATTGGTCTCAAGCCACTCAGCTTCTTCCGATAGTGGGCGTGATAGTTGAAAGAAGTAGCTTTTGTATGCTCGGCATCCCTGCTCCTCCTCCTCCTCCTAGTTGGGACTTTTTTGTCACCATCTTGGTTTCTCCAGCGAAGCTGTTTGCCTAAAAGACAGCTGCCAGATCGCCTACTGCACCATGAGCTTTTTGTACTTTATTTCCCATGATCCTCTGTATTCGTGTAACACTGATACCTCGACTCGAATAATGCTGCATAACTTGCACCATATGCTATTCGTCAACATTTTCTCACTCGCAGCTTAGCTCTTCATCCTGACCGTATCACGGTGGCCACAGGACAAGTTGCCGGACACACCAAGCCTTACGGAAAGGTACGTTCCTCCTATCGGTTGTCAGTTAATTTATCATCATTTGTCTGGTATTGCAACTAAACTAAAGTCGGCCTACTATCGCCCGTTCAGCTGCTCACTTTCGGTTCAGATTTGCTGACAATCCTTCATATCAGGACGAAGAGAAGCAGCCAGCTGCGCTTCCGTGTATTTGACAACTTTTGCTACTTTTTAGTTCGGTTTGTCACAATCGGTTGAATCTGTCGCAGGCTAGACGACTGTGTACTAGTCTTAATGCACATCAGAAAGTCTCTAAGTCTCGTTCAAAGCGCATGCACTTCTACCCAAGTTTCACGCGTTCTACTTCAACGATTATACTCCAACCGCGATGACTTCAAATAATTAGACCCTTTCCCACACTTTTCGTTTTATCTACAAGTTTTACTCCTCCGAACGACTGCTTATACTTCTACGCTATTTATGAATCTCAGGTCATTAACATTGCATGCCACAACTTGCTCGTATCGATCGTTCACCGCGTGAGATCGACCACGTCGGTTTTTTGCATTTGCTGAGCCCTCACGCATGACTTTATTCCCATTTTGTTATGCGTGCGCGCCATGACAACGTAGAGCGTTAGTCGATTGACCGTGTTGCTTCTTGGCTTTCATAGTTTGATGGACATTTTCACTTCCCTTAGTGATTCATTAAAAAGTATGATTTTTATTTCGAAATAGTGTCCGCATATAACCGTCATCTAGCATCTCACTCCGTCCCTCCTAAACCCGGCTCATATTCAACGGATTTCCGCATTACCGTTCCCTAATTTTGCAGTCCTTTGATTTTCCACCTAAGTGGCTCTCTTACATTCTCTGTTGGTCTGATGACAGCCGCTTACCTAATGTCGCATTCGTACACTCCACAGCATTTCCTGTGACTGTTTTTTCCAATTTAACCGAGGTGGTTCTGGTGTAATCATCGATTTTGTGTATACTACTGCTTAAACTGGGGAAATCTGTTTATTTCTAGATTGTTGCTTTCGCGAGATCCAACACGATTTCGTCCAAACTATATGTGAAAATTGCCGAAATCAGATACAGCCAGGAAGAATAAAGCCGAGGTGTAGACCTCAGCGTTTCGTTGCGAACAGCTCCGTGTGTTTGGCCCAACAACCTAGCCCGAAGAGCCTTCAGGTTTCAGCTCAGTCTTCCTCCTCTACCCATGCAAACTCACCGGAACGAAGTCCAACCGTTGTGAGAAGCCCAGTTTCACCTTGCATAAATTGTTTACCTTTGTTGTGTCCAACGGACACTGATGTCCCAGCAGGTGAAAGTCTGAGTGCTGAAGGCCAGTGGAAAGAACGAAATTACGAAGGGATGTTGGTCGTTTAACTTCTGTAAGTCAACAGTTAGCCAAACCACGTGAGGCTGGTAGTATACTTCGCCCTGCAAGGTCAACCTCATCCGACCAGAGGCGTTATAATCTCGTGATCTTTCACGTACCAGAGTCCAGTGATCCATCACCCCAAGTGCGCTACGATCACGATGTCGAGTTTTTACAGGGTCTACTTGACAGACTCCTCGACGCTGGTAAGGACTCGGTAAAAGTGAGGCAAATTACCCGTCTTGGAAAGCAAGGTGATCAACGAAATCGGCCTATGATAATCACTTTTGTGGACGAAGCCAGTCCAAGACTGATCATGTCCCGCCTAAGTAGGCTGAAAGGTTTGAAAATTCGTGTTCGTCCAGACGTGGACCCAGTAGACCGGGAACAGCTCAAGTCTGCCATCATTGAGCTGAAAAGACGCACTGGTGAAGGGGAAACAAATCTTCGTATCGTAAATTTTCGGGTAGTTTCCAACAATCTGCGAATCTATATAAACAGGCTGCTCACACTTCAAGCACGCCCGGCTGCTCCTGCTGCGGCCTGCGAGTAGCCTTCACAAACGTTTGCAGTGTTATGAACAAGCGCGATGAGCTTTGTTGTTTCGTTGCGTCTGAGCGGCCAGATGTAGTGGGACTCGCAGAGACATGGCTGGATGCAGAGTTATACACCCAAGAACTTGAACTCAACGGTTACTCGTGTTTCCGATGCGATAGACTAAAGAATGCCCACGGTGGTGTCTTACTTTACATCCGGTCTTCCCTGCGTGGGAGACTTGTGAGCACCTACCGAAGTGACGATAGTTTGTGTGAGCTACTGTGGTGCTCCATCTGCCTCAGGCGCGGAGAACTGCTTGTGGGCGCAGTTTATCGCATTCCCCTGAGTCGTTGTTTGGATTGGCTGCCCATTCTTCGAACCCACATGAGTCGTCCACACTTTCTACTTATGGGCGATTTTAACTATCCTCGAATACGATGGCCTGATGTGCATTTGATGCCTGGACATAGTGAGGTTGAAGCAAAGTTCGTGGATTTGGTACTTGAAACTGGTGCGTCGCAACACATATGCCAGCCAACACGCATAACGACACGTTCAACCCCGTCCTGTCTCGATCTGATGTTAACGAGCTACGAACAACGAGTGCGTGACGTTAGGATCCTGGAGCCCCTGGCTACAAGCGACCATTCAGTGCTCATAGCTGATATGGAATTATCTTTGCCGTATTCACGTCCGCTGGAACCAGCTCCCAACTACTGGAAAACGGACTTCGATGGTCTAGCTCGAACCGCGAGCCAACTGGATTGGTCTCTGTCACAAGCTGCATCTGTGGAAGATTGTTGGATATTTATAAAAGAGAGATTGACATCATTGTGTTCCCAATTTGTGCCATTGAAATGTCGGAAGGTTGGACCGATTAAGCCTTATTGGTTTGACAAGGAGTATGGAAACCTGGCTCGGAGGCGACGCAGACTGTGGGACAAATTCCTCCTCTCTGGCTCTGCCAATGATTACGAAGGGTATAAATGTCAGCGGAACCTCTGCAACAGTGCAAAAAAGAATAAACGCCGACATTTCGAAGAGCAACTCGCATTAGCCGCGAAGACCGCCCCAAAGAGAATCTTTGCACACGTGAAGCGACGCCTGAAGCCGGCAGGTGATGTGCCAGTGCTTGATGGCCCGGATGGACAGCCCCTAACTTCCAGCACTGAGTGTGCGTCCGCGTTGACGGCGCACTTCGCTCCTGTATTTGCTAATAACCAGGTGTCTGTCCCGAGTTCGACGTGTACAGCTTTTACCGAACTTGATAGTCTGCATTGCGGCGTTGAAGTGGTAGGTCAACTACTCGCCAATCTTGACGGCACCAAACCTGCCAGACCTGATGGGCTTCACCCACTGCTTCTTAAGTCACTTTCGACCATCCTCTCTCCTGTCGTGACTGACCTTTTCAACAGGTCGCTGTCCGAAGGTTCGTTGCCGGTTGACTGGAAATGTTCGGTAGTGAAGCCTATTCCGAAAGGCGGCGACCCTAGCAAAGTAGACAACTACAGGCCAATTTGTCTGACACCTATTTTGGCAAAGATTGCTGAGAAAATCGTGAAGAAGGGATTGCTGCAGTTGCTACAGTCAAACGAGGTCCTAACGCCCGCACAGCAAGGTTTTATGCAAGGTCGCTCATGCATTACGAACCTGCTTGTGATGAGGCATGAGTGGTTGAAGGCAATGAGCAAGGGGAAGTCCGTCGACGTGATATTCATCGATTTCAGTTAAGCGTTCGACAAGGTCAGCCATGAGGTTCTTCTTCACAAACTCAGAATGTGTGATGTCGTTGGCTCACTGCCCCGGTGGATCCGCGATTTTCTTGTTGGACGAAAGTGGAGGGTACAGGTCGACGACCATCTAACTGACTGGTACCTCACTACAAGTGGCGTGCCTCAAGGCACTGTGCTGGGGCCCACTCTGTTCCTGATTCACATAAACGATCTACCGCAGCTTCTTCGGTCGCCGTGTGCATTGTTTGTGGACGACATGAAGATTTGGAGAGAAATTGACGCTCCCGATGACTGTGGCCTACTTCAGCAAGACCTCAACCGCCTATCCACATGGGCTGTAGAAGTTCTTCTCCCGATCAACCCAGACAAGTCGGTATTTATGAGCCTGGGGAAGGGTGCTGACGGCCGAACCTACACCCTCTACGGCCAACCGCTATATCCCACACCCTTCGTGAAGGACCTAGGTGTACTCTCACGCTACGATTTGAAGTCCGTGGACAACACGAACAGGCTATATCGTAACGGACTGCGCATGCTTTGGGCGCTCAAACGTAGCTTCGGCACATGGTCTGAAGCGGTTGTCATGCCTCTTCTCTTCCATCATTAGACCAATGCTAGAGTACGGTTCGCCCGCCTACTTTCCGATTACCCGAGGCGAGGCACAAAAGATCGATCGGGTCCAACACGTTGCTACCAGGCTCATCGCGAGTTTACGTGGCTTTGGGTATGAAGACCGGTGCGAGAAGCTAGGACTCTACACCTTGTCCTACCATCGGATGCGAGTCGACCTCATTATGACCTACCGTATTCTACATCTCGGTGACTTCCCAATACTAAGGCCAATGCTGCACTTACGAGTGCCATGCAGCACACGCGGACACAGATACAAACTTGTCGTGCCGGATGTGAAACGTGTTCCCCATCCCCATCCACTGTGCTTCGAACGGAGAGTGGTAAACATTTGGAACAGTTTACCTGAACATATAATTGATGCAACATCTGCGTAGCAGTTCAAAACGTTGTTAGATTTATATTTTATCACTATTCGATTCAGAGAACGACTGTACACTTACGATGACATATCACATTTGTGAGTCCTGAAATATCGTAAGTCGGATATTTTAAATGTTACATGAGAACGACAACGATATTCACGGTTGAAAACTTTTATAACGTTTTTCACCATATTTCGAAAGAGTTGTACAGAATTCATTTCTACTTGCTCTATGATACAGTATTCAGTAACCAACGTGACCACTAATCTGCGACAAATGCCTTTTTGACAGAAAATTCCTCTGCGTTCAATAGATATCATTAATCTAAACATCAATTAAGTGTTGATTTTGTGTTGTTCTCAGCACTGAATGAACATTTCGCAGTCGCTCCGTT